CACAACCAGCTTGAAGCTGGGTTACGTCCGGCGGGAACGTTCGAAAACGTACCCGGTTTCAATCGTTGGAATAATTGGATTGTGGATAACATTCTGGACCAATGGATGTCCAGCACGATGTGACTGGTCCACAGCCAATGTGCGTCGAGTCTACGAGGTTACGGTTAGGTGCGCTAACTATGTCGGCTTAAGCTTACTTACTTTACTAAGTACTACACGTTATGCCACGTGTCTCATGCTGATTCGTTAGGCGACGCGCTACGCCAGCGACGCGCGCTACGTTGTGACACGTGCCATACATAAATGCACATGCTGCTGCATGAGTTGAGATGCAGGCCCTAGTATAGCTCGCAGTCGCGATTCATAATGATGCGGTGAATATTGGTAGTGTACCATGTGCAATGACCGTCATGACTCATGCACATTATTATTAACAAATATACCGTGTGTGTCCTGCCACATATATGCGCGGCCCGAAACATACGACTTGACCATGTACACATCATGATATGTGGCCGGGGCGGTCACCTTGAAACATTGTTTTTGCCGTGCCACAAGCTTCATGCATTAAGGCTTCAGATTACAATTTGTGAGGTATACAGTGCTGCATGATCGGCTTTGTTGGAAGTTGGTGCATGTGATTTCTGGCGGCCGGAATGCAGATGTTACACCTGTTACACTTGTGACATGGTCGATCAGTTGGGCCAGACGTTGTCGGCAAAATCGAATTCTGCCAGGTGTCTCCTAGCACATGTAATGCATACGATTCCAGAGGACAGGAGATGCCATTGCTTCGATTGGGCCTGTTGTACACGGAGAGTGCATGGCAGGCGATCGGATGGCATCTCAACTATCTTGAGTGTCAATTCTTTCCATGATTAAGGCAATGGCGGCATTAGCGGCTGTAAAGGGACCATGAAAACTCTCTTTAAAGCTAAAGGTTTCCAGGTCCCGAATCTGCAAAGACAGAAGAAAGGAATCACTTTGCTTGCAGTCTGGGTAGACCAATAACATCTACATGCTTGACCACACCATCTGCTCGTGCCAGTGCCAACAGTTCTTATCGACGTGAATGACAAACTTGACCAACAAATCAAGTGGTGCAAAGAGTCACCATCTCTAAAAATAGGCCACGTTATTTTCCACGTTGCTTGTATTGTGTCTTCGGCCACACATGATACAGTGGTCTTTTTAAAGAGAGTTCGACTTACAAATTCCACAAGGATGTCGCCAGCGTCGTTAACCCCCTCTAACAGACACCGGTAGTAGACTCTCTTGCAACGTTCACTGATGTCCTCGTTTGCTGGCTCGGGGCAGTACTCATCATCAAGCCATTGCTTCAGCTTTACTTTGAGCCATTCCGACTCCTGTATCATGATAAAGAAGCAGGGATTCCAGACTCACGGGGACAAGAAAACACCACAAAATCAGAATCGTGGAATGCTTCAGAATGGAGAGAATTGAAGGGTAAAAGGCGTCCTCATCTTTTGTTTGTCGGAAGGGCATACCACAGAGTATGGTTGAATAGACCTACAAAGCACATGACTGTGCATCCTACTGCTCAGAAGCAACAGCACACCTTCAGGACGAGACCATTCATTGGAGAAGTGATATGTGGCAACTCAAGCTGGGGCTTACCATGCTAGCTTCTTCAACTGTCACTCTTGATGCAGCCACCCCTCCATCCCCCGCTGAATCCCTTGAAGCCAGCAAACGGGCACTCCCCACTTTTCCAATTGCCTTGGGCCCAAAGACACGAGTCCTACATGTTGTCGCCCTTCCGAAATCTGCAGAATTGTCTTTGCACAGACTTTTGGGTGAAGTTGTTCCTCTCCTACTTTGATCTACAGTGGCAGGGACTCCTCTATGAGAGCGAGAACATGTGACTTTCCATGCCCCTTCTGCCACCTCTCTGGTGGGTGGTATGCTCTGGGCGAAATCAAACTGGCTGCTGGGGCGAGCACCGTGCAGCCGACGTGCTGACGGGGTTGCATCTTGACAAGCAAAACTTTTGAGAAGTCGACCGCAAGGATACACTGCACAAACTGCGGGCCAAGAGACACGACGAAGCCCCTCCACAGATCTTTGAGCTTGCAATCTACATGGGGCATATATAAAGCTCTTCGGCCTTCCAGCCTGCTGAAATGCATCCTGAATCATACCCCTGGTTGACAAATGGTGCCGACTATCCCAATGCATCCGCATCTGGATTCTCACTTGCGTACAGCTGACATTGCTGCGGTGCCATGCCACCTTGTTGCCTCTGCTCTGCCCCAAATCTGCATTGAAGCATTGGGACAAGGCAGTAGACGCCCTTGCGGCTGACATTGCCAGATTCAAAGAGCCTCTGGCGAGTATGGAACGGAAATCGTCACAAGTTACCGCTCAAGCAGGCTTGCAGCCACCTGCAGGCCCTCTGCAACCACCCTCACTGCTTCAGCCAACTGGACCAAAAATGGTGGTCAGAATCAGGCCTCATGTGCCTCATGTGTCCACCCTCCAGGCCCACATTGTGTGCAAATTATGTGCACGACCTGGACGTGGGCACTGGTGGTGCACTTGAATCTGAAGACTGCGCACCCGTAGCCTTCGGCGTAGGTACACCGTACAACTTCAAGCTGCCCTTGCCAGCCCCCCTGATGCCAGAGCACCTGACCGCTTGTCCAGGTGTCACACTCTGTTGCCGTGGGATTTTAATCGAGCGGCTCAAATTACGTTATACAAATTGTACATCTGCCCCGGACCTTTCCCCTGGGGCTCGATCCGCAATCAGCTTGCCAATGCAGTACCGTACGTCGATCGAGAAGTCCTGAAATTTGCAGTGAAATTTGCAGCTCTGCTTCCAGAAAGTTTTCAGGAAGCAGAATATTCATAATTGAAATTCAGCTCTAGAGTATTCGTATAGAGGCGCATTCTCTTGGTCTGAGCTCGTGTTGATCATCATCAAGAATCGCGCCTAAAGTTTGGAGGCAAGCTGGGGCTGGAGGTCTGCTGCATGTACTGCCGTAGAACGCCGATTGCCTTGGTTGCCTTGTGAAGGAGACGGGAAGGAGCGCGCAGAAGCTGGTCCAAGTAAAAGTATGCAATGAAAGTTTGAACATCGTGTTGCTCCTGGTGCCCAATCGACATGGTGTTGGCGTCCGGCTCCGCTTGTGCGAGCATCTCGAGCAGGGAGGTGTCCATCGGTGCCTTCAGAGACCAATGGAAGAGTGGTCTCTCGGGATCAAGCCCATTGCGGAACACTTCGTCAGGGCCCAAAGCCGTGAGCTTGAGAAAGAGCTTCCATCCACCATTGGGAACATCGTCGCCGCCGCAACTGCAATCTTTTTGGCGACGGGCAACGTTACTGCGTGGCAGGCAGTCTGGTGCCAGCGCTTCCTTGCTTGACTGCGGCAATTTCCGGAGCTTTGGGCCTGCTAGGTCTGTTAGACGTTGGTCGAAGCGCGAGGTTGCTGCCCGCAGTACTCAAGACTGGGACTCCAACACCATCTCTCTGGACAGCAGCGTTAGCTTTCCTGCGTCGGAGGAGGCAGTGGAAGAACGTATCAGTCAAGCGGAAGAGGCAAGCAGCTCAAATGGTGGTGCGCGCCACGCCACACCTGCCGCTCCAGAACCCTCGGCGGACGAGGCTTTCAGGCTTTCCACGCCAGCTGACGGGGAGGCCGGGGCAGCGGAACCCAGTACGTCGGGGCGAAGCAGCGAGGCTGCGGCAGAGGCGGAGTCAAGCGGGAAAGGGGATGCAAGCCTGGGGCAGAGGGTGCGGCGGCTCTTCGCGTTTTTGAGGACGATTGGCCCTGGCGGGGAGTGGTGGAACATCGAGGGGAGCAGGGTGCCGCTGAACAAGCAGGAGTCGGGGCAGGTGTTCAGCAGGGTGTGCCGCCTCGTGGCGGAGCGGCCGGTCATGCCGCTCTGCGCGCTCTGCTTCCTCGTGCTGGCCTCGGTGAGCTCCAGCAGTGCGCACCGCCGCTTGACTGCTTGTCAGAGCGCGTCTACTTTGATAACCGAGGGGAACAGATTTGTTCGCTGATCCTGATGTGTTCCCTGTGATAGGAAGATTAGTGCCGCAGCTGCTGTCAATTCCTTGGATGGCACTTTATAAAGTAGCGTGCATCCAGCTGTGCTGGACGTTCTTGTGGCGCCCACATGTCGTCTAGCAGAATGGCGCCGGCTGTTCACTGAGCTGTTCTTGCCCAGCCGATGCCACCCCGCATGCCCTGTGGTTTGGCTGAACGCCAACCCCTGGAAAAAGGTTCGTGCAAAGTGTCCGCACCAAGGTGCAGCGAGCTTGTGGGAGAAGCCAGCTGAAAGCATTCAGGCCTTGGATTGCGTTCCGGTCTCAAGCAAGCAACCTCAACCCCGATTGGCAGGGGCTTATGGGGAACAGACTCGGCACTGACCCCCCTGCTGGTGCCTTTCTCGTGGCGCAGCTGTCGGAGCTGGCCATCCCGCACTTCATCACGTCCACCATCTTCGCCGCCTCCCAGAACAACCGGCCGCAGTTCCTGGCCAACGCACGCTTCCTGTGCGTCATGGCCGTCTCCTTTGGCCTCTTCAGTGGCCTCCGCGGCGTGTGCTTTGCCGTGGCCAACCAGCAGCTCATCCTGCGCATGCGCACCGCCCTCTACAAAACAATCATACGCCAGGTGCGGAACAAACAGCAACTTGAGGTTCTTGATCCAAAGTCATTGATACGAGGAGGAAGACCGAAGTCAATAAAAGCTGCAACATCAAGTGGAGATGTCTGGAGCCGGTCCGAGGTCACAAAGTAAGGAGCTCGTATGCTTTCAACGATGGGCATGGCATGTGCCATATTTTACCAACGGGAGTACTCCTTCAATTGGAGAACAAAGGAGCTACTACGTTATAGGCATTCAATTGCCTAAAAAACAGGTCGACCAAGGTCAGTGGCTGAGGTTGACAGTTCGGCCTCCGCGATCAGTGAGAAGCACTCTCTCTTGTGTCGTTAGATCCCTTTCATGAACGGGTTGGCCTTTCATCAAACGGTTGGAAATGCGCAGTCATCTACACCACAATCCGATCCCACCATCCCAAGTGGACACCGGTGTGACATGTGCCGTGCGCTGCCGTTGCGCAGGAGGTGTCGTACTTCGACCAGACGGCGGTGGGCGACCTGACGAGCCGGCTGGGGAACGACTGCCAGGCGGTGGCTAAGGTCCTGGGGATCAACGTCAACGTCATGCTCAGGAACGCGCTCCAAGTGAGGCCCGACGCTGGGGTCGGTTCTCGACGTTTCTGTCCTGGTTAGGTCTCATATGGCCCAACTGAACGAAATAGACAGCGACATGGACACTCAACATATGCTTGGTACGGGGCAGGCTGGACCACGATTCAGGCTCCTGAGCGAGCCACGTTCGACTGTACAGAGCTGCAATTCGTACAAGGATGAGGAAAGAGGACGAGGAAAAGTTTCTCCCTTTTCTGGTCTCTTGGCAGCTGCCTTTTCCTTTGACAATAATACTTAACCCTTTGAAGCCTCCTTTCAACTTTGATGGAATGGCTGGACAAAGTATATATGTGAGCAGCAAGTAACTGGAGTGATGGTTGACCGACATTGGAATCTTCCCTTCCCTCCTCTGTGCAAGAGTCGCTTGGAACGCTCGTTAACCGCAGGAGTGAAATGAATACCTTAAGGCGTGAGTGGGGCACCTCGAAGGGGCGTTCCCCGCAGCTTCATTCGCTGAATGGTCAAACGGCGGACCTTGAGCCCCTTTTCCTTGCGCGCAGGTGGTGGGCGGCATGGCGTACCTGGTGTCGCTGTCGCGCTTCCTGTCGGTGACGACGGCGGTGGTGTGCGTGGCCATGGGCGGCGTCATGTTTGTGGCGGGGCGCTACCAGCAGGTGGCGGCGCGCGTGGTGCAGGACACGCTGGCCAAGGCCAACGAGGTCGCCGAGGAGTCCTTCTCGCTCGCCAAGATGGTGCGCACCTTCGGCACCGAAATGCAGGAGGCAGCCAGGTGAGACGGCACTCCGTATGCGATCTGACCGTTGTGCCTGCCCAAACTTGGTGCTGACGTGTAAGAAGCAGTGGCGTGCTCCTTGCTCACCGGAAGAAGGGTCCACTAACACTGGCGCAACTTGCAAAGGCCGCAAATGAGGCCGTTCCTGTCCACTTCTTATTCTTGAGCATGCATCGTGTGAAACACAGGGGGAAAAAATCTCTGCGGCAAACGATCTGACAGCAGCAGATCGGGCAGTCTCACTACCTCGTGTGCAAAACCGGAGGCTTGCCTAGAAACTTCCGTCGGTCGTCAAGGTCGATCAGAACTAAAACTACGCAGCAGCCTTGAAGTGGCAAGGGAAATCCAAGGACATGGCGCTCCGCATCAAAACCGCGGCTGTGGTTGTTTGGCGCCAGGTATCGGCGGCAGGCGCAGGAGATCGTGAACCTGAACAAGCGGCAGGCCGCGGTGTACGGCATCAGCGCGTGCCTCACCAACATGCTCTACTACTTCCTCGTGAGCCGCCCCGCCGCAGCGCATGCCTGCTCTCCTGTTGCGGGGTCACCACTGTGGCGCTCATTGCATCTGGCCAACGGGTAGCCCGGCATGTCGTCGAAGCTTGAAGCAATTTTCATTCACGGGACTTCTTCTCTTTCCGCCTAGGAGCTGCTCTTCTTCCTTTTGTGCTCTGCCTCCTTGCGTCCTTTTTCGATGGTCGAAAGGCCGTACCAAGACCTTGCCTGGTTTCACGTCGACGCTGTCCCCCACCCCCCTGCCAACACCGCCGCAAGCCCCCCCCTCCGTGCGCCGCAGGTGGTGTTTGCGCTGTACTTCGGCGGCGGGCACGTGATGGCGGGCGGCATCAGCGGGCAGGACCTGACGACGTTCGTGCTATACGTGGAGATGGTGGGCAGCGCCGCGTACATGGTCGTGGACCAGTGGGCGTCGCTCATGGAGGCGCTCGGCTCCTCCGCCGAGGTCTTCAAGATGATTGACATGCCGCCCGCGAACCAGCTCGTGACGCCAGGTCAGCAGACCCGCCCCAAAAGGCGGCCAGGCCGCGATGCTGGCGGCAGTTGCAAACCGGCTGGGTTGTTCCTGCATACTGGAACAGAAATTTGAGAGCACCCTAGGTCATGTTCTACAGCTTCTCGGATTCGTTGGTGATGCATCGAAGTCCAGTCCCGTGGCGTACAGAAGAACCGGTTGAATGTTGCCACGAGGGGGTTGGGAGGCCTTGCCTGCTTGAAGCCTGATGGATGACGTTTCGAGAGATTTGACGGTGCAACCAGGCCATACTTCGCAAGTCGAAGTAGTCGCTGCCTCATCTACCCACAAGGAGGGGACTCGATCTCCGGGTGTGTATAATGCTTCCTTGTGATGGAAGAGCAACGGGCTGACGGTTTCGGGCTTCCCCGCAGGGCGCGTGCTGCCTGCGTTGCGCGGCCACATCGAGTTCCGCGGCCTGCACTTCCGGTACCCGGCCCGGCCGCACACGCCCGTGCTGACGGACATCAACCTCACCGTTCAACCAGGACAGCTCGTCGCATTTGTGAGCCGCCTTGCTACATGCTTTTTCAAGGCTCGTCCCCAGGAGGGTCACGTTGGAAGCAGCTTCCGTTTGGGCATCATCTCCTAGGCTCACTTCGAGGGTCACGTGGTGCTAGTGAAACTCGACTCCTATGATTGTTGTGGGGAATAGTTGGCTGAATGTTGCTGAGCAGTATTCGCTACTTGGATATCTTCCTTATTTGCGACATGAGAGACAGGTTGAGCTCTTGGCATACGCTTTACGACAGATTTACGGGCAGGGGCGCGAAGCCTGGCTCGAACGTGCGGGACATGCACCCTGCGTGTGAACGAGGCTTTGCTGCACACGAATTCAGACGGAAGGCAGGCTGTTGTCAAGAGTTGATTCCGTTGATTGAGGGGGTGACGTGCGAGCCTCCTTTGAACGTTAAGGCATCAGACATCTGCAACCTTCCCGGGACCGTTTACTTTTGTCGGCTCAGTACTTGTTGGATTGGCCTATACATCTACCTGGAAGAGGAAATCAGTTGGCAAACGGCAAATATGAAGAGCCTTTGGATTTCCAGACGTTGGCCTGGCAGTGGAGCGAAGCTGCTGAGGTTTTCTAGTGCATGTTCGCAACACCCATTTGGTGCAAAGCTGTGAGCTACGGAGCGAGAGGCGATAAAGCGTGCTAGCCCGCTCGACTGACGCGTCGCCCCCCCTGTTATTGTGCGTGTTGCCAGGTTGGCTTGAGTGGCAGCGGCAAGAGCACGCTGATCCACCTGCTGCAGCGCCACTACGACCCCTCCGAGGGCCGCGTCCTCGTCGACGGGCAGCCCCTGCCCGATTTGGACGCCGCCTGGTTCCGCATGCAGCTCGGCGTCGTCAGCCAGGTGAGGCCGCCAGCACGCGGCAGCCGGCCACGGGGCGGCACTCAGGACCTTGGACTTGTAGTCCGAAGTATGCCGCATTCTCCTTGCTGTGCTAAGTGACGCTTCTTAGATTGCTTATTGGTGCTCGAAGCTAAGGGGACGAGATATTGCGACTTTAAGCGCGGGACTTTCCGGAATTTTCCGTCGGCCATGGTGTGCGTCGTGAAAGTAGATGATAGGAGCACTTTTTGAGGTTGGGGGGCTTGCAGGAAGAGCCAGCATCCGGGTCGTTCTGAATCCCCGGATGGTGGGACGCGCCCGCAACGGCTTCGCCGAGGACCCCCGCTGCCCCCTCCTGACGCTCGCCCCCTGCGCAGGACCCGCACCTGTTCTCGACGAGCATTGCGGAGAACATTGCCTACGGCGCGGGCCCCGTCTCCCGCAGCGAGATCGAGGCTGCGGCGCGCACTGCCAACGCGCACGACTTCATCACTGCGATGCCGGCGGGGTACGACACGGTGGTCAGCGACGGCCGGCTCAGCGGCGGGCAGCGCCAGCGGGTGGCCATCGCGCGCGCGCTCGTGCGCAACCCCACCATCCTCATCCTAGGTGAGGTGGCACCGGCAGTGGCGCCGGGGAGCTTGTTCTCCATCCCTTGTTCTACACTGTGTTCCTTATTCAAAAGTGACACCTCGGGTGCTCCTCCGGCGCTGTCGTAAGCAAACGGTGAGTTTCAAGTCGTACGACATCCCTGCTGAGCTGCTCGTCAGACGCTGTCGAGTGTGCCCTCCGCCCGCGTCGGCCGTTGCGTGGCACCACCGCTGACGTGGCTGTGCGTGGTGCAGACGAGGCGACGAGTGCGCTGGACGTGGACAGCGAGCGGCTGGTGCAGTCCGCGCTTGACGCCGCCATGCAGCCCGGCACCGCCGCCAAGCAGCGCACCGTGCTCGTCATCGCCCACCGGTGAGCCCGTGCCCCGCAGAAACTCTCACTGGGGCACGCGTGTTAGCTCCCGGGCAGCAGAAGCGGCATGGGAGAACGGGGCGAGCGGGCAGCTTTACGGTGTCACCTTTCGAGGCCGCATGTGTGCGAGGGACGGCAGGACGGGCGGCCTTCTGTGAGACTTTTCCGAGCCGGACGCCCATTTTTTGCTGAGCCGCGGTCACGCTCAGCCGTTGTACTCTTTGGTGACAATCTGGATATGCTGACGGCTCGACGGCCCTTGCTGTCTTGGTTTCCCTGGTTGTTCCATTGTAGGTGCAGCTCACAGTGCGAGTGCGTTGTGTGCAGGTTGACCACTGTGCGCAATGCCAATCTCATTGTTGCAATGAAGCACGGCCGGATTGTCGAGGTGAGATTCCTGGCCGCAGCCTTGACCTGGAAACGTACATTCACCCCGTGCGCAGGGGTACGCTGATTTCACCATGTGCACGAAGTCAATGAACGCTTGACGACTCTGTTGTGAAAGAGCCCAAGCGCTTGCATAGGACCCGCTCGACACTGCGGAGGTTTACGCGAGTTTTGCTGGCGAAGGGGTAGCAGTGCTTGGACACAAGGCGTCGGTACCCCTAGTTGCTTTTCAACCTGCCCGATAGCCTGTGGGCTCGCGTGCAAGCCACTGTTGGCTTCTGCTTGCTGATGAAGCAGTCTCGTGTTGTTGCAGACTGGTACGCACGACGAGTTGATGGCGCATGGAGGGGAGTACGCACGACTGGCACAGCGGCAGCTCAGTCAGGCCTAGCGGGCGAAAGAGGCTGCGAGGAAGCATCCTGCCCCTCTGAGCCAACGAGGTGGTGGATCGAGCAGTTGCGAGTTCGGGGACGATACTTGTAATATAAGTTGATCTCGATCAAAATTAGGACTTCAGTACCGCGATCAAGTACCCTGCTGGGACATGTCAGATCGGATGCGGTTCCCTCGGCTGGTTACATCGTTTGAGGCGTCAACTGAACATGGACTTGCAGACCTTTGGGGCGTGGAGGTGCTGAGTTCACGCTTTGATATCGCTGACGAACGTCTCGTTAAGAGGCTCGCAGGATTGCTAGCCTGCCTCTTGCTGGCAACAACGTACATTCCAGAATCCCGTTATGGCGGCTACTTGCGGCAAGAATCTCAATTGCATGCGTGTTGAGAGTGAACTGCGTCGTCGATGTTATGTGCACTGGCTTGGTAGCTTGTGCTAGCTTCATGGTTGAATCCTATCTGACTCGGTGCGGTGAAAACGAACTTAGCTAGAGAACTTGATTGTACCATCAAGTACGTCCGACAACCATCATGGTGACGGTTGACCCGCTAGTTGGTCAATGAATGAATGAATGAACGACATGTCATTCAATCATTGCCGCTGCAGACCACACAGTGCGCCGGGAGCCTCCATGAGGCGCGGCTAACTGGCTAGTAGAAATATGCATGTCTAGCTAGGGCGGCTGCATGCATCAGGCATATGCAAACTACCATATGGGCCAGGGTCATGCATAATATAAACTAAAATGTTATGTCAGAACGTTGAGCCGCGCCCTAGTGCGTGCCGGCTCCCGGCCTCTATTCATGCAACGTACGAGTTAAGGTTGCCATGTTCAATTTGGATCGTAGTCACACGGTCACGCGTGCAATGTTTATGCGCGGCATGCCAATATGATATAACCGTTGAACAATGATGAGGGCATGTATGAACTTTGCGTCCATTCAAGTTTTTGCATAGCTAGGCGTATAAGCTAGTTTTTACGACCCTCGCTAAGTTGTCTGCACCGAACTTCGGAAGCATGAGCCTGCTTTGGCGGGCTTGCGGAGTGTGGCGAGCTCGCCACTGCTTGTAGTAGCAATTACCCGTGACCATGCAAAACGACCGTATCGTAAATTGGCATTCTCACTAAAGTCATAATTAAAATCAAACATCACGCGATCGTTGGGCCGGGGCCCGGGCAAAGACAACAATTCAACACTCTGCCATGCAGCACGCACACAGCACGTGCGTTCCTATATTTAAGATAGTACATGATCGAGTCCGATCGACGTAGTCCGAGTGATCCGACCAAGACGCTCGAGAATTGCATGAAGCCGCGCGCAGCTGGCGGCTAGCCTGGGCATGCCTTAAAGGACTTCAAATATAGTTATGCAGCGCTGTATGTGCATATACTTTGTTGCATGTATGCTTGAATCACTAGGCGGGTCACGGGTGGCCACATATCATCGACCTGTCACTCCGTCTGAGTCAATCTCGTATTGACGTACCGTACGCCGACGTACTGGCGCAGCTTGCTTGCGACCTTACGTCAGTGACATACCGTGGTGAGCCTATGGAGGGCCTAGATCGGGCCCGCCGCCAGACCCGCAATGGGCCCCTGCGACCCTGCTAATGATTCTGATCGATCGGATTGCTTCTAGCCCGAGAAGAAACCGCGCTATAGGCTACTCGGGCCCGTCACGGGGCGTGATTAGCCTAGCATAGTGTTCTATTCTTGGCTCAGCTCGCATGGCAAGCGACAAATTGATCGAGCCTTGATCTGACCGGCCATTCATTTGCATGACATCCGACGTGGTTTTCCGAGGGATGCTTGCATGATTCCCGTGGAGAGATATATGATAATTTAATTTAGATATAATCATTAATGGACATGATCGAAATTTAATTAATTGCAGCTACGTAGCATGCGAGTCAGCTGCAGTGCAGCCTAGAGTCAATTGCATATCACCGGGGCCGGTACGGTCTCACCGGATCGAGGCGGCAAAGTTGTCTGACCGCACCGTGGCTTAGCGCGTGGGGCCCAAAGGGTTTAGAACAGCAGTGACCATGCATCTGACCGGACGCACGCGTACTAATCATGGTCGGAAGCTCAGAATCAACACGTACCTTACCTATCATTATGATCGATCAAACATCGGATCAGAGCTGCACTCGGGCCCCCGATCGGACTTCTTAATGGCAATGCATACACGTTTAACTTGCTCATGATTAATTGAAGTAGTTGTACATATGCATCGTGCGTTACCGCCGGGTGCTATTCCGCCTAGCATTGGATGAGGTCAATATATGAACGATTGACTCAAACTAGGGATACTTTCTAAGTCACAAAAACTCTACAAAATCTCGACAACGCAACGTACCATACTTGTTGATTTAATATATTCTTGAAAAGCCTGAGTCACGAGTAAGGCTGGTCTTAGAGTTTCAGCAAGAAGTATCTCGACTATCCGCGTTATGTTAACAAGTCAATAAAGAATTGAAGACAATAACTATCCGATCAATGTATATCCGGCCCACGACTAAGAACTATCAAACTGTTGCCACAAGAGCAGCTAGACGTTTAGAATGCACCATCGATTACGATGCACTTGAGTACGTAGAGCTTATAACGAGTCAACACAGTCAATCGCTACTTGGAAGTCAGTACTAAAGCACCCCGTTGCACAGCACCTCGTACCGTCACGAACTTACTAGCACCTGGACCTCGAAATCTTTCCATGGATTTGCGGTCGTTTGACGAACCTCGCAGATTATTTTCCGACAGTCCTAGGATCTCTCGGAGTATTAACTTGCGCACAACCAATCATATCTCTCACACGTAGTCGTACATGACTGTCCTGACTTACTCATGGGGCGGAAAGCCGAAGTGGAGTTGCCGGTTGACGCCCGGTTCTCCTCGCTGAGACCTTCGCCCATGACACGATGGGATTGGCAGAGTTGACGAGGCTGTTCACACGCACACCGGCCCCCACACCAAGCTGCACACCGTCTGTGCTGGTTCTCTCTCCGAGAGGCACACACGAGTGCGCGATATAGCCGCCGAGTAGACGGCCGTGACAAGTCTGCGGGCCGCTCCCGCTTCCCCTTGCCAGGGCCCCGTGCCAATTGTGCACCCGAAGCCAACGGGCACCTGCTGGCCGCCTTTGCTGCCAAGCTGACCCCCCCCCCCCGGGGCCTGCCTCACGACCTGCTGCCAGACCGGGGACGGCTTGCCTGCCGCACCCTGCTCCCGCGTGCCTTGCTTGACTGAAGAATGGAGGGCACCGAGGTTCTCTTTGCGTGTCCCGTTGAGCGTCATGTTGTCTGGGGCCGCTTGCCCCGGCACACCTGGGACTCCCATTGCTGCGCTGGCGGCCCTTCTGGCTGCCTTGCCAGAGAAGGCCGCCCTCTCACCACTCGGCACCTCAGCGGGCCCCCCTGACCCGCGGATCCTTTCCGCTGTGTGGCGCCATCCACGCTCCCTTGCCCACGCTGCGAGGCGCGCGCTCTTGCCTTCCTTTCTTTGCCCCCCCAACGCCCACCCCAAATCGGCCACCAGTGCGTCGGCGCTGCTCTCTGCAGCGCGCCGCGCGGCACTGTCCGGCGGGCCGCTGCTATGGAGCTGCGCGTCAAGCTGGGCCAGCTCCGCAGCCAAGGCGGCGTCGGCCACGAGCAGCGGCTTCATGTTGCTCGGGCAGCCGCCGCGGTCCACCTGCGCGCAAGCGGGCACGCGTCAGCAGGACGGGAGGCCAGCCCGACAGGGCCAGAAACGTTTACCGGCATACGACCGATAGAGAGGCGATTTGGCGGGCCAGTGTAGAACACCTTATTACAACTGGACGACTCGCACATGGGCGAGCCGTCTGCCGCATCAGCGTCCCAGACGTGCCACATCCCCGCCCTGGCCGCAGCGCGGCCTCACCTCGAGAAACATGCTCCCGCGGGCCTCCGGCGGCGGCCCGGCCATGGTCCACACCAATGTCTCCACTCCCGTCACGGGGTCCGCGCTCCAGGAGCTCGGCCCCACTGGGCCCGCCCCCACGCGCGGGCTCCACTCCTGCCCCCCGCACCGGGGAGGGGACGGAGCGAGGGGGGCGTCGTCGTCGTGGCTCCAGCTCACGGGGAGGCCCCGCCCAGAAGACGTGCCAGGGCGGGCGGGAGCGGCGCTGGGGCGGCTGTCCAGGAAGCGCTGCCCGTTGTGGAGGCACACCAGGCTGTAAGAACGGCAGGGGAGACGAGGAGCTTAAGGACGCTGGCGACAGGAGGGAGCCGATACCATTGCGGCAGGATGCAGCAGAATGCTCCAGGCCTCAGAACAGGGGACACAGATCAAGAGTACGTACAGCCACCCGGTCTTCCTAAGTCAGGAGTATGAGAGCGTCTGAATCGAACCAGACGGTCAGCACGTCGATACAAACAAGCAGAGCGCATCAGGCCTCCCCTTGACTGCACACGAGATGTTGGACCCATCCCGCCCTGCCTGCGACGGGGCTGCAGGCCGGGACTCTCACCGGTTGTTGGCATGCAGGAGGCCCCGTCCCGTGACGGTCATCTCGACCGGCTGGCCTGCGACCAGGCACCGGGGGTGCACGCTGAGGAGGACGGGGCCCTGCGCTGGGGTCAGAGGGCACACCCGCTGCACCACGCCTGCGTGCAAAAGAAGACGCGCGTGGGGCAGTAGGCATCAACCGGTCCTTCCACCCATTGACTGGGCTGGTATGGTCAGCGCAGCAATGGCGGTCAGCGCAGGATCGCACTCGCTGATGCGGGAGGGCGCCCACCGGCCAGCACGCAGTGCAGACTGCACCCGGCCAGAAACTCGAGAGCCGCCCACTTCAGTGTACGAGTACGACATCCAGCTCCTCCGAGCGGGGGCATCACGCCTGGCACAGGCGAGGCCCGCCAGAAGCTCCAGCAGCTTGTTTGGGAGAGTGGAGGGGGCACAAGCCGCCGGGAGGAGGAAGGTGCGCGCTCACCTTGCTCCACGTGCGCCTCCATGCTGGTGGTGAAGGCCGTGAAGGTGCCGCCGGCCCAGGCCTGGCTGCGCACGAGGCCCGCCAGCAGCGGCAGCAGGTCGCGCTCCAGCTGCACGCGGGGTAACAAAGACGACTCAGCCACGCAGGCGGGCTAGAAGACGGAAGGAAGGCGGCGCGGGGAACAACCAGACGTTGCAGACAGAGCCAACGAGGCGCCTCCGGCTGCTGCGGCTCTAACGCGAGGTTGGCAAAGGTTGTTGAGATTCGGTTCCCTGCCTCACCGCGTCCCAGTCGGGGTGCGGCATGGCGAGGTAGGCGGAGACGTGGACGCAGCCGGGGCGCAGGTACGTCTCCATGGCGGACGGGCGGCGCTGCAGCCAGTCCAGGATCTGCGCTAGCGCACGCATCAGCCGCATGCAAGTTATACACAAGAGCAGCAAGGCCGAAGTGTGCTTCCTGCACCTTAAGGTACGGCAGTCCTTGAAGGCAGGGCATGGTCCTCGGGCACTGGCGGCCCCCTCCACCAATGAGGGGTGCAGAGGCTCCTTGTGTGCAAACCCCAGCCTGGCCGCCAGCCGAGGTGTAGGGCAAGGATGACAGCTTCCAGCAAACTCATGGTCAGGAGCTGCGTGTGCATGAGAGGGATCCCCCTCGCATTTTCACGCCACAGCTCCCTCTTTCCTTTTAGAAAGCGTGTCAGTCCTCACCTGGTCGCGCAGGTCGTCGGGCAAATCATTGGGGTTCTTGTCAAACAGTTTGAACGAGATGCGCCCCGTGCGGTCCTGCGGAAGGTACGGCGCACTGTTGTGGTTGAGGCCGCCCCCGCGCTGCCCGCCCACCAGGCCCTCCAGCTGGCCCGCCCAGGGGGAGCCGCCCGCCTCCAGGCTGTTGGGCAAAGGGAACAGGCTGCTTGCCTCACCGCCTGCAGCCAGCAGCGGGGGTCAGAGGAAAAGAGGCTCCAGGGCTCCGCACGCATGCCAGAGATGGGCCAGAACCGGACCCGCTGCCAGCGCAGCCTGCCCTCCACCCCTGAATATGACAAGGTGGCCATGCGATTCAGGGAGAAGCATGGTGGCTCTGTGGCGTTGTCAATGGAAGCATGGAGAGCCAGCAGTGTCCCTGAATGCCGACGAACTCTCTGGAGCCAGAGACCACCATTTGTTCCCTTCCACGAGAAAAGCTGGCCCCTTCGCTGATTTGCAGATTCCAAGACATCAGCGAAGAAACCCGGATTGGGACTGACTCGCCCTAAAGAGATTCACGAGACAAACGCATGCCCCCATCTGCCTGTGGCTTGCTCTCTTCCGGCCCCACATGCTGCGTGCGCGCACCTGCTGTTGCGTGGCGGCCAGGGCTGCTCAAGCTGTGGCCCCCCGCACTCTTGTCCAGCAGCTGCTGGAGGGACGGCGACTGGCGGGCGCCCGCGGCCGGCAGAAGGCTGGTGGCGCCTGTTGAAGGGAAGAGCAACCAGTGGGGGGCAGGGTGGGAGGGCAAAGGGACCGCCCGACAGCACATGCTCCGAAGCACACATTGATTGTAAACTGGCATAGATGGATGATGCAGTGACACTTTGCACAGTGGCAATTCAAGAGCGCCCGAGCGTCGGTGGCATTGTGAAGGCAGGGCAAGCACCTCACTCACTGCTGGGTGGGAAGTGCAGCTGCAGGGTGTTCCTCGCCTCGGGCTTGAGCTCCTGGTTGGCGCTGCGCTGCGGCTGGAAGCCAAGCAGCAGCTGCTGGCTGGCGCTCAGGCCCAGGGTGCGCCCCAGAAAGTCGGCCGTCTGCTGCGGGGGAGCCCCCATCAGAAGGCTGCTCAGGCTGCCGTCAGGCGCGCGGGGCGCCACGCCGCTGTCGCGCAAGAACTGGGACAGCGAGGGGCCATCGCTGGCGGGCTGCACGGGCACAGCTGACCGGATTGGGGCGCAGCCAGGGGGGGGGGCGGCCGGAGAGTCAGGCGGATCGAGGCGCCAAGCACTGAATGCATGGACAGGGCAGGCAGGGGGCCGCGCCCATTGAGGCGGGGAATGCGTGCCAGAAGAGAACCAGATCTTGCCATGTGTCTCTGGCCCAGCGCCCTCACCGCGGCCTCGTGTGGGGAGAAGGGCGAGAGGGAGAGGCCCTGCCCCAGGCGGCGCGGCGGGGTGTGCTCCGGTGCCGCAGCGCCCTTCCGCCTGCGCACCTCCTCGTGTGCATCGTACGGCAGAGCGGAAGTGGCCATGTTGAAGTGGGGCCGGTGCGGCGCGGGGTGGTCGTCGGGCTCGCTGGCGGGGTCCTCCTTCTTGCGGCGCCGCTTGTTGTGGCCCAGCAGGCGCCGCCGGCAGCTGCGCTTGCCCTCGTCAAACTCAGCCACCGGATGGAACCTGGACACAGCAGCGGCGACACAGTGAGCAGTGTACAAGACAACAAATCTGATTGGGGACATCTGCAGACTTCATGAATGATTGATTGGGGTTGACAACCAGTAAGCATGCTTGATGCAAGCTGAGCATCCCAAGCACCACAGTGCAGCAGGACTACTCCGAAGGGGGGCAAAGTGATCCTGGATTTCAAGAATGCATCATGCACCATCAGAAGCAACCACTTTCTTAAGCACTGTTTGTGGAAGACAGCAGTGCCGGTCTTTTATGAGGGCCTCATCTTGGTGAGTGGCTTAAATCACTAATACTTGCTTGAGCGGTCTTGCTTTACAGATCGGTTGGATGTTGTTGGATCTTTGGAACCTGAGCCGCACCAAACAAGCTAGCTCCAGCAGCCACCACTTATTGCCTACCAGTGACTTGCTTAGGAAAGTCTGATTCTACAGCGAGGTTACTGCTTGGTGTAGAACGACAGGAAAGAAAGAAAAAACAATAGAAAGACTCTCTTGAGCATGTAGCCCTTTTGGTTTGCTGGGTCTGGTACAAACCAGAGCATAATGTCAGGTGTGGTTGTGCCCTGCTTATGTGGGCAAGTCAATGGTTCGGCACACATTGACCAGAGAAGCACTGTTGCTGCGCCACCCTCGTTTTATTGCCGCGCTTACCTGGAGCACTGCTGGCAGAAGCGCATGAGCTGGCCCTTATGTAGTGCGGAGGCGGCCCGCGCGTGCACCTCGCACACCTTGTGTCGCTGGTGGTAGTCCTTGCTGCCGCTCAGGTCCGCCCCGCACCCCTCAATGAGGCACACAATGGACGCGCCAGCGAAGCTGGGCCGCGGCCGCTTGTCCGAGTCGTGCCGCTCCAGGCTGCCCGAGGACTTGTGAGCGTTGCCGGAGCTGTTCATACTGCCAGCGGCAAGGGGGAGGCAGCAATTGGACGGGCACCAGAGCCTCCCACGACAGGCACCAGGAAAGCTAGGCAGTAAAGGTGGTCACACACGAGCAAGAGATGTTACTGAGAAGTGCTTAGCAGGAGATATGTCGTGGATAATTCAGCCCTGATATGCTGTTGGATTGACTTGTTGCGGAGGATATGTTGAGTCAGGGCCCAATCTCCCAACATGATTATCTTGCTCTGATTGCCCTTGTCTTGTTGATTGAGAAGAGTCTTGGACCTTGCTCAAAAGCAAAACCTGGCCAGCCCATTTAGGACAGCCTGTGCAATGCTTCTTTGTGGCGATCTTGCTCAGGATACGCAGCATTTCTGCCTAGCAAGACATAGACCCGGTATTTGTATCTTCAGAAACAAAATCCCTGTCTAGACCTGGCTTTCGTAGCTTCAGAAAAACAGTGCTTCCCTTGCTCCAGGCAAACGCATGATTGCAGAGGCGTTTGCAGGCATTGAGCACTTGCTTGAAAGCGGGCTACCTACATTGCTACAGCCTGCATGCATTGCAGAATTACCCTTGCAAGATTACTGTAGACCTGAGCCTCCCCTGAATAAAGGCACACGATCTGATCAGAAGAGGGCTTTTGGAGCACAATGCAGCACAATGCACTCGCAGCTATCAAGGTCCCATATCAGCGCAGGCGCCCCTTTCAAATACTGAGTGGTTCAGTGCTGAGTGGATGATGTCCGTCTTGATCCAAACTACGAAGTCCGACGGCGACGGCACGCGAATGAAAATCTGGTCCTGGGTACTGTCCCTACAGCGTACCTATCGTACATAGATGTCGTACGGTCTCGTAGGTAACGGTTAACCCTCCAGACTCCGCAGTACACACCTTCTGTACCTACGTGCCAGCAACTGCCCACTCAATGGTACCAGTACAGGGTCGGTACCTACCGCCAATTAATTGACAATCTTTTCCTCGTTTCAATGTCAGGCTGATACGTTACTTTGTTACACGAGGGTTTTCCGCCGGTACAGACCTCGAAATACAGTTGCAAGGAGAAGGCCTGACATGCTGTCGTCATGTCTGGCCAGTTCAATCGGATCGACATCCATCTACCACTGTACTTCTGTACCAGTAGTGAATGGTGCATACCGGTACCGTGCTTACTAAAAAAGCGGGAGATACCTGGCCCTACAACAGTTTTGAGCCAGGACTTCGGAAACCCTAAAACCCTAAAACCTCAAGTTTACGGAAAATCTATTTTTTTGCAGATTCTGAAACACCGCAATTCAAGGAGTGGAACTGCATCATCTAGACTCTTTGACACTTCAACCACAGGACAGTGCAGGCAATCCTGTATTTACGGAAACCTCAAAACCCTGGTCTCTAGCAATGATTTGATTCACTTATTACCCTAAAACCTGACCACTTTTTTAGGGTTTTTA